GCAGACCTTCGGGCTGGGAACTTCTCCTGCTGGACAAGAACAGTGCTGCCTCATGCCCCAGATTATTTATGTACCCCCTCAGCCACCTACTGGGTACTCTACCCCAGGGATTGGTTACATAAATATTCAGGCTGCTGTTTTGTCTTTTCCAGCCCACAACATTCTAGAATCCTCCAAAAGATAGAGGGAAACAACAGGGTGAAATTCAGAACAGCCCCAAGCAATAACAAACTTCTCCACTGACTACAAAGGAGCCAAAAAATAAACCCTACATTTTCCTAATTATCATATAAGTTAGCTGGAGTTCAGCTTTAATTTGATAGTCAAGTCCATCTACATCTGCTAGACTAATGTTCTCCATATACTAGACCAGGGGTCCTCAAACTTTTTAAACGTGGGGCTAGTTCATGGACCTTCACACGGTTAGGGGGCAAGACTGTAGTTTGGAAAAAATATGAACAAATTCCTATGTACACCACACATATCTTATTTGTAGTGAAAAAAACAATACAATATTTAAAATGCACTGTACACTGTAATGGATTGCACACTGATACACTGGACACCGCAATGTACTGTACACTAATGCACTTGACACCACAATGCCCTGTACACTGTAACGCATTGTACACTGATACACTGGACACCGCAATGCACTGTACACAATACACTGTACTCTGTAACGCACTGGACACCGCGATGCACTGTACTCTGTAACGCACTGGACACCGCAATGCACTGTACAGTATACACAATACACTGTACTCTGTAACGCACTGGACACCGCAAAGCACTGTATTCTGTAACGCACTGGATACCGCAATGCACTGTACAACGCACTGGACACCGCAATGCACTGTACTCTAATGCACTGGACACCAAAATGCACTGTACACTGTAACTCACTGGACACCGCCATGGACTGCACTCTGTAACGCACTGGACACCGCAATGCACTGTACACTAACGCACTGGGCACCACAATGCACTGTACTCTGATAGACTGGACACCGCAATGCACTGTACACTGAACACCACAATGCACTGTACACCGTACCGCACTTTGCACCACAATGCACTGTACACTGTAACACTCTGTATTCTAACACACTGGACACCGCAGTGCACTGGACACTGATACACTGGACACCACAATGCACTGTACAGCACTGTATTCTAACACACTGGACACCGCAATGCACTGTACACTGATACACTGGACACCGCAATGTACTGTACACTGTACTCTAACCAGGGCTTTCTTTCTGCCGGAACGCGGCGGTACTGCGTTCCGCCACCTTTTTCTTCTTGTCCCCGCTCACCGACTGCCTCTGCAGAGCTGACAAGCTATGCAGAGCAGCGAAAGTGACAGGTGCCGGACGCGGCTTGTTTATGTCATGCTTGCGCGTGCCCGGCACCTGTCACTGCCGCTGCTCACAGCCGGTGAGCGGGGACATGCACGCTTCACCCCCCCCCCCTCTACCGCCAGCGTGTAAACATCGGGGGCGCGGACGATGGGCGAGGACACTATGCACGCTTCACCGCCCCCCCCCGCCGGCGTGTAAACATCGGGGGCGGCGCGGCGACATCAACGGCAGTGACAGCGTGGACGCAGGGGCCGTACAGCTTGGAGTAGGTAAGCTGCGCTCGGCTCCCTGTCACTGACTGCAGTATCATGTATTGCTCTAAATTTTTACTCTCTCCCCAGCCTGTGCCCACCTAAACTATCCCAACCACCTGTGCCCACCTAAACTATCTGAGCCCACCTAAACTATCCTCACCCACCTGAGCCCACCTAAACTATTTCAGAACGCAATTGCTCAGCGCTCAGCGGCGCCGATCGAGAGCGCCCCTCCTGTGCATGAGGAACAGGAAAGATAAATTCAGTGATGGACGGTATTTTTTGGAGGAAAAGGTGGCAACCCTAGGGGAGCCTGTAGGAGCAGGCACATCTACCAGACAGGGTACACATGCATGCTAGACTGATTTTATATCTATGCTGGACGTTTACAAACGGCCTGCCATGATTTTATATCTATGCATGTGTTCCTGGTGTCAGTACGGTACTGATTTTATATCTATGCGTGTGTTTCTGGTGTCAGTACGGTACTGATTTTATATCTATGCATGTGTTTCTGGTGTCAGTACGGTACTGATTTTATATCTATGCGTGTGTTTCTGGTGTCAGTACGGTACTGATTTTATATCTATGCATGTGTTTCTGGTGTCAGTACATTAGTCATTTTATATCTATGCATGTGTTTCTGGTGTCAGTACGGTACTGATTTTATATCTATGCGTGTGTTTCTGGTGTCAGTACGGTATTCATTTTATATCTATGCATGTGTTTCTGGTGTCAGTACATTAGTCATTTTATATCTATGCATGTGTTTCTGGTGTCAGTACATTAGTCATTTTATATCTATGCATGTGTTTCATGCAGATCATGCAAGAGGCAGCCGGGGGTCCGATGACATCATTTCCCTTATATGGTATGTACGGGAAATGATGTCATCGGAAGCCCCTCCCAAATTTTACTTGCATTCCTGTTCTCTAAAGGGGTGGTCCTAGGGTTTGATGGGGGCGTGGCCAGGTTTGGGTGGGGGAGTTCCACCACCTTTCCTCTGAGAAAAAAAGCCCTGACTCTAACACACTGGACACCGCAATGCACTGTACCTGGTGTGCTCTCCTCCTCTCCTGTTGCTGCTCTGGCTGCAACAGGTGAAATCCGGGGCTTCCAGGCAGCCTAGCTATTTGCCAACACAGTTTTTTTATTTACTGGCCTTGCAGGCTGGACAAATGTCTTTGTCGGGCTGTATCTGGCCCGCAGGCTGTAGTTTGAGGACCCCTGCACTAGATGAAAAATAATTTGAAAATCTATCCGTTGGCCCGTTCGGTAATTTTTCATCCAGTTAATGGGCACAAATGCCCTGCACACTGTAACGCACTGTACACCGCAATGCACTGCACATTATACACAATGCACTGTACACTGGAACACACTGGGCACTGCAATGCACTGTACACTAATGCACTTGACACCACAATGCACTGTACACTAATGCACTTGACACCACAATGCACTGTACTCTGTAACGCACTGTATTCTGATACAATGGACACCGCCATGTACTGCACTCTGTAACGCACTGGACACCACAATACACTAACTCACTTGACACTGCAATGCACTGTACACTGTAACACACTGGACACCGCAGTGCACTGTACACTGTAACACACTGGACACCGCAGTGCACTGTACACTGTAACACACTTTGCACCACAATGCACTGTACACTGTAACACACTGTATTCTAACACACTGGACACCGCATTGCACTGTACACTGATACACTGGACACCACAATGCACTGTACACTGTAACGCACTGGACACCACAATGCACTGTACACTGTAACGCACTGTGCTCTGATACACTGGACACCGCAATGCACTGTACCTGGCATGCTCTCCTCCTCTCCTGTTGCTGCTCTGGCTTCAGCAGGTGAAATGGGGCTTCCAGGCAGCCTAGCTATTTGCCGACACCGTTTTTTTTTTTTTTTTTTTTACTGGCCCGGCGAGCCGTATCTGGCCTGCAGGCTATAGTTTAAGGACCCCTGCACTAGACAAAAAATAATTTGAAAATCTATCAGTTGGACCGTTCATTCATTTTTCATCCAGTTAAAGGGCACAAATAGCAAATCCTGTTTGACTTTTCAGAGCCAAAAAAAAATCAAAGGAATAGGTTGGAAAAGAGAAGAAAGAGTGGGAATCAGACGTCATAAAGACTGATTTATAAACTGTTGGTTTGCTTGCAGTCTTTGCAGAGTGGAGCAGAGTTCTGCTTGTTGTATCTTCATACTGCTTTAATTTAACTGCTGTGTTGAGCCCGGGTTCACATATATCCAGTGTGGTATATCGCATGTGATTCACACAGGCACCGCATTCCTGTGCAAGTCACATGCGATTTGTGTGCGGTGTGATTGGAGCCATACATTTTGTATGGCTCTAATCGCACCATACCTGCACCAAAAACGTGCAGGACACTTTTTTTGGGTCTGCACTAGAATCGGATCGCATGGGTATTCACACCTACGTGATCTGGTTCTGCACATTGCACTGCGTTTTGCAGACCGCCTTCAGGGTATTGTTAACTTAACATACACACCTGCCGAGGTTTGCATGAATGGATTGCGATGTGGTGCAGAATTCACACAGAGACCGCTGCAAATTTCGCACCACATCAGTTGGAACCAGGGCTTAAACTGCTATAACACTCATTCAAAAAACATGCTGCCTGTGACTTCCTCTTAAGCTGATCTAAATTTCTAGGTTGATAGGCCAGGGAAGCATTTGTCAATTGATCATTTAGGAACTGATAACAAACACTTGAATGGAAGAGGAAATTGTCAAAAAAACAGACCAGCTACAGACACAGGCTCAAGTCATAAAAGGTAATTGATTCACTAAAGGCAAAAGCTGGTGAGAATCAATCACCAAAAATATAAACAAGTTTCAAGGATATCAGAGCATGTACCAAAAAAGCAATAGCAGTGTCAGTTATCAGTCATATATGACACGGGAATTGTACATGTGGATATTTCAAGTAGTCATTTACCTGTGAAGGAGCAGAGAAGACATGATAAGAAAGTGATAGAAGTGGTGTTAAAACTGCTATAACACTCGTTTAAAAAACACTCAAGAAAAAAAGCACGCTGTCTGCGACTGACAGCTGTGTGAGTTTTAAAGCTTTTTAGAGCACAGTCTACCTACCTTGGGGATTCCATGTTTATTAAGGCTTTACCATGAAGCACCAATCCACAACACAAAATGATTCGAAGTGTAGGAAGCTCCTCCAGCCACCAATTAGGTTCAAAGCTCCCTTTGTGGAATGTGATTAGTGATATAGACTTACTATAATGGAAAGCCCAATGCAAAATGGAAAAGTTATTTAATGTGTATGAAGTATGAAGACCTATGGTTTTTCTTCACAATTACCTTATGGACCTACTCAGTATTACTCAGTATTAAGTGGGTGGCTGTAAAGTTATGGCTGATAGATGTAAACACTCTTTGTATAGTGGGACATGGGTCATCTACAGTATCCACCAGGGGTGGACTGACAACTCATGGGGCCCCTGGGCAATAGAAAATCATGGGGCCCCTGTGTCCTCGCCTACACTCAAAACACACCCAAAAAAGCCTATGAAAGGTACCCGGGGCATCTCTTGGGGCCTCTACTGACCCCGGGCCATCAGGCAGTGCCCGAATGGTCAGTCCGCCCCTGGTATCCACCTAACATGTAATTTTAGCTCTTATCACTGTATGATAGGAAATATCTTACATGGCTTCTATGGAATAGAATGTGGTAAAATAAAAATAGCATGGTGAAGTGAGAAAACAAAATGAACCAAATGCCACCCCACACATACAATACACGCAATACACTAAGTATTCTTTGTGACTCCTTGTTAGTTCACCCGTTTACAGAACTGGTGCTGTTTTTGTGACCGTTGATGATAATTAATCCATGGACTGCTGACGGCACCAGTTCTGTCCATGCTGTTTTGTTTGACAGATTAATACTATATATGCACCCTGTTCAGACTGTACAAAGCATAAAAAGAGCACACACCAACTCCACTTGTATTGCATAGAAACTATTACAACACTAACCGCCCTGAAGCAAATAAGTGCTATGGACAGGTATTATTTTGTTAATGACTATAATTACATTTCATTGTGTATAACACAAAGCAGCTTCTACTATGCAATGCCAGTGGTATTTTAGTTGTGGTGTACAGCATACTGAAGCAACAATTCACAGTACAAGCAATTGTTATTATTCTGATCACTGTTAGGCTACATGCACACTAGGAGCTAAAAAAACGACAGGAAAATGCTGGATAAAACTCGCTCAATATTAGCAGTTTTTGCCAGTGTTTTACTGTTTTTTTTGTTTTTAAAGGACTCTCCTGTCCTGTATTTTTGTGAATGACTACTATGTATCCCATATTCATTCAAATGGGAGGGGGGGGGAGTGGGAACTGGGGGCCCTTCTTGTTAAAGGGGGCCCTTCTTGTTAAAGGGGGCTTCTAGATTCCAATAAGCCCTCCATCTGCAGACCCCCACAACCACCACCCAGAGTTGTAGAGAAGTGGCCCTTGTCCCCATCAACATTATTATTATTAATATACAGGATTTATATAGCACCAACAGTTTGCTCAGTGCTTAACATGGGGACAAGGTACTTACCCCAAAGCACTCCCTTCATGTTATTTTTTTCAGGTACTTCTACAGCGCCATCAATTTATGCAGCACTTTACATATATAGTACATTCACATCAGTACCTAACCCTCAAGGGGCGTACAGTCTAAGGTCCCTAACTCACATTCATACATACACATACTAGGGTCAATTTAGACAGAATCCAATTAACCTGCCAGCATGTCTTTTGATTGTGGGAGGAAACCGGAGTTCCCAGAGGAAACCCACGCAGGCACAGGGAGAACATGCAAACTCAGGTGATACACGGAGGTGAAACAAATTCTCTTACATAAATTGTACCTACCTACCTGCAGCCCTCTCTATCTGATATCTGCCATTCAAAGTCCAAAATTTACACAGCATTCATGAGCTCCAGAAGGCAGGGTGTGTGGATCTGACTTCACACACAGCACAGCATAGAACAGGGAGCTGAGTGTAATATGAGTCCTGAGTGGAGAGAATGGACACACCTACTTCTACACATAGGGAAACATGCACAGCTGAAGCTATCGTTCACCTGCTGTGTGCTGGAGGGGGGGAAGGGCCATCTGATGTTGGTGTAGACCAGTGGTTAACTTATGAGCTAAAGGGCCCTCATATGCAGCCCCTGACATCAGCAAAGGGGCACACATATTGTTCAATATATGCAATGCTTGAAAGGGCTGTCAGAATCTGCAGACTTAATAGAGAATATGAGGGTCAGAGAGTGTGGACATGCTACATTTTGGGGATATGCTGTAAAAGACAATACGACACTGAAAACATGTTAGGCTAGTAGAGATTAATACTATTACCCTAATCAATGTTCCCATTGCAGGCTGCTTAGGTCTGACAGCCGCACATCATATACCAAAGGGTTGGGTACTAGGGGCATAGACTGTCAGAAGTGACTCATACAGATAACAGAGGAATGTGAGAGCAGGCAGAAATCACACTAGGTGCTTTGGATCAAGGCAAGTACACATTATATAAGATTGTGCTTTGTCGCATTTTTCACTTCAGAGGTTTATAACCACTTTAAGCTACAAAGGCAGTCAGATAAGGTTGTACAGATATTGCAGCAAAGATTATACTTGTAGCGTTTGGCAGGCAGTACCGCTGCAACCCATTTAGGTGAATTGGCTTTATTGTAACTGCATTAAATGCATGTGGTAGTGGCATGGTGGTGGGAGCTTTTTCGGAGTTAAAATGAATAATGAGGAGGCAAAACATATCATCTCCCAAATGCCTTGTGAAAAGCAATCTGCTGCAGATCAGTTTTCAAAGGGGCAGTAAAGACTGCAGCAAGTGTGAACAAGCTCTTCCTGTGTGCATTATACTGTATTGTAGTACTAAAACTTTTTGATGAAACAAATCCAGAGGGCTGTTATTAGTAATGCTATAGAGTTACTGTTTGTACCAGATTGATGCTAGGGGTACCACATTCATTTTTGCAGTTATATTGGTCATAGACATTAGTCAGATATGCAAGCCTCATCTTACTGCCTATGTGGCTCAAATCACATCACATTCGAACCAAAAAGGTGCAGCACCCTTTTTTACCCGCACATGAATTGCATTGCATGGATGCTCTCACCCATGTGATGCAATTTCTGGCAATCACATTGTGTTTCGGGATCATTAATTTAACAATGACACCTGCACCAGATTGCTTGAACGCCATGTCATTGCAATGCAGTGTGGGAAAGGTACAGGATTCGCAGCGTTTCCTGCACCGCACTAGTGTGAACCTGGTCTAAATGTCTGCAAGTTCAACTTTGTGCAAAAAACAGAAATGTCCAAGTTCCTCCAGAGATCATGTCTGTGCTTTATAAAGTGGTTAACACAGTGGTTAGGACTTCTGCCTTGCAGCACTGGGGTCCTCAGTTTGCATCCCAACCAGACACTACCTGCGTGGAGTTTGCATGTTGTTTTTGTGTTAGCATGAGTTATCTCCAGGGGCAGACTGACAATTCATGGGGCCCCCGGCAATAGGGGATCATGGGGCCCCTGTGTCCTTGCCCAAACTCAAAAAAGCCTATGAAAAAGGTACCAGAGGCATCTCATGGGGCCCCCTACTGACCCCGGGCCCTTGGGCAGTGCCCGAGTTTCCAAATGGTCAGTCCGCCCCTGGTTATCTCCCACATTCCAAAGACAGGCTTAGTTGTACCTAGTATATGTATATGTGAGAAGGGCCTTAAATAGTAGGCTGCTTGTGGGCAGGGACTGATGTGAATGTAAATTGTCATTTCTATATATTAGTGCCTGTAATAAATAAATCTAATTCAGGAAGGAGGGAGATACCTCCAGGTCTGGAAACAACACATCTCTCAAGCAGTTGATATGATATCTGCCAGATCAGGTTACAGTCATCTCATGTCAGCGGTTAAAGCAGAGTTCCAGCTGAAAAAAAAAAAAGTCAGCAGCTACAAAAACTGTAGCTGCTGACTTTTAAAATACAGCCACTTACCTGTCCCTCGGTCCAGCGGTGTCCTCACCATGGCTGGTTTCACCGGCCATCTTCTCTCCGTGGCTCCGGCATCTTTAGTGTGGGTACCCGGCTGTGACAGCTTGCGGCTTCACAGCAGGGTGCCCAGTGAGCATGCGCGAGAAGCGATGTGCTTTGTGAATGGCCCCGTCATCTTCTGGGACCTGTCACGTGTCCCAGAAGACTGTGTGGAGGGAGGACAGCTTCTGCTTCATCTAGGCGATCGCAGCAGAAGTGGGAGCGGGTACCTGTCAAATTCAGGTACCTGCTCCCCAAAGATGCCAATCCTTAATGGGGAGCGGGGGACAAAGCGGAACTTCCCCTTTTGGGTGAAACTCTTCTTTAAGAAGTCCATTATAGGGCATATTATTAAATGATTAAAGTATACTCCACCATGTTTTTGTATATATTATTTGCAAAACATTTAAAGCAGATTAAAAACCTAAATCACTATGTACATTAAAGAGTTACTAAACCCAGGACCCTGCATTCACTATATCTGGTCTCCCACAGTACAGAGAACATGGAAGTGCAATTATTTCAGTAAATATAAACTGCTAAATACCTTTTCTCATCAGCTGTTAGAGCAGTCTTGTGACTTCTATCAGTGTCCAGCTGAGCACTGGTTAAAGCTTGTAGGAAGAGTTTTCTTTCTGCTCTAGGAGGATGCAGAACCCCAGACCCTCTGCCTGGACAGCTGATTACATGCACCCTCCCACGAAAAACAAAAACCCTCTCTAGCAATGCACACTAAACTGAGCAGGTGCATGTGGCTACGGGTTCAGTCTGTCTTATCAGGTGGACAGTTGAACAAGAGAAGGGCAGAGAAAACAGGATCAAATGGCCTTTTTACACAATGCAGAGGATTAACCCATTAGGTTCCACAGTGAGTTTAACAAGCATGCTTTACTGCATATACAGACTGATTTTACTGTTGAGGGTTTAGTAACACTTTAAACACAGATTTTTTTTCCCCTTAAAAATATTATTTTTCAATTTTTTCACCTATATTGCATCTCAGTGCTGCTGATCTCCTCCAGACTCTTTCAGCTACTTCCTGTCTACGTATACTCATGCCAGCGTAGGCTGTACATTATTGCTGTAGAGTGGCTTCCTGATGGTGACAGTGGTGGCCTGAGCAGTTTACTATAGGGCAGAGCAGCCCATAGTAACACAGAAGTAATACAGTTGTGTAATAAATGATTACTTTTATTATTGGTATAGCTGCTGTGTATTTGGTAATATATAATGGCTGAAGTAAGACAACAGTAATGCAATGATGTAAGGAATGATTCTAGCTATTGTCCGTAGAGTAATAATACCTTGTAGCGTAATAATAATATAATGGTACAGGGAGTTTGCTGGAAGATACTATAAATGCAATAAAATTGTTAAAGTGCAGCCACGGAATGTAACGCTTGTGTGCCAGGGAAAGGTCAGTATGTGGATGTTATGCATGCTCTGTAGGAAGGACTGTGCAAAGTATATTTGGCCATTGAATACATACAGAATATGAAAAAAGTACTTTTTTATTGTTTAAAGGCTGATGTCATTACCTTTGCATGGAAAATAGGTTTATATTTTTTTCTATAAGGCACTGTGCTGCTTTAACTGGTAATTGCTCAGTCATGCAACACTGTACTCAAACAAAATGTATATAATTTTTTTTTTTCACACAAATAGAGCTTTGTTTTGGTGGTATTTGATCACCACTGTGTTTTTTTACTATTTGCGATATATACAAAATTTTGAAATAAAAATAATATTTTTTACTTTCTGCTATAAACTATCCAATAAAAAAATAAAATTTCTTCATAAATTTTGGCCAAATATGTTTTGCTACATGTCTTTGATAAAAAAAAATCCCAATAAAAGTTATAGCTCCTACAAACTATGGTATATATACTGGAAATGTTATTTATTTATTTTAAATACTACTAATAGCAGTCATCAGTGACTTTTAATGGGACTGCGACAGTGCAGAAGGCAATCTGACGCTAACTGACGCTGGGGGGAACTGACTAACTGCTACTGACAGTGACCAATGACATTAATACAGTGATCAGTGATATACACTGTCACTGCACTGATGAGACTGGCTGGGAAAGGGTTAACATCTAGGGTGATCAAGGGGTTAAGTGTGTGCCTAACCATGTGTAATGCGTGTAAAGTGTGCTGCTTTTACTACTAGATCTCTAAGTTTATCATCCCTGCTTTGAAGGGATGATAAACACAGAGATTGTTTTCCTCTTTACAGAGCTCTGTGTTGATTGTCACCACAGAGCTCTGGGCTGTGATTGCCTGTGCACGCCCGAAACCCGGAAGTAGGCAGTGATGTATGGGTATGTTGCTTTACCTACAGTGGCCGCTCGCCCACAATGCAATGTGTCATTAAGTGGTTAATATGGCCTTGAGGGAAAGCATTGAGACACAGATGGGATGTCCTCCCACTATAGTTTGGAGATATAGAAGGCAGGAAGGTGATGCTAACAGGGTTATAAGTGACACTAAAGCTTTGGGGGGGTTCTGTTTTCATTTTTAATTATATACATTTTTATACTTGCCTGCTCTGTGCAGTGATTTTGCACACAGCTGCCCCAGTCCTCTTCTTTTCGGGTCCCTGCCAGCGCTCCTGGCTCCTCCCCTCAAGCAGTGCCCCCAGAGAAAGCAGCTCGCCCTGGGGGCACCGCTGCATGCTTGTCCCCAAGCCACTGCTCTATGCATCCATAAACTTGGCCCGCTCTCTCCTTATTGGCTTACTGGTAGTGATTGACAGCAGCGGGAGCCAATGGGCTCCCACTGCTGTCTCAGCCAATGAAGAGGAAGAGTCCCTAGACAGCAGAAGCTTTTGAGAATGTCACTGGATCAGAGGGGGCTCAGGTAAGAATTACACACAGAAGGTTTTTTACATTAATGCATAGAATACACCCAGCAAACCACTACATGCAGCATTAAAGGACATATACTGGAGCTGTTTTACCTGCCAAAAGATTTTTATGTCTTTCCCCCTAGTTCTTAGATTTACACAGTCTTGCCATACAATGCAGCCAACCTTTTAGCAGCCTGATTGTTGTCTACCGCAGGTCACTTGCCTGCCCCTAGTCTGTGATTAAACACTGAATAAGTAGCAGATGCTTGGTAAAGTCATCATTCTGCTCTCTCCTTCTGTCAGCATGTTCTTTATCAGCTCATGGCCTTACAGGACCCTTCATTGGATCCAAATGATGCCTGTCCTCCCAAATATAAGTGCTGCTATACAGTGAATTACAAGAGCCTGAATTAAAAAAATAATAATTGAATATACTGCTACAAAGTGTTGAAGCATGGACAGCCCCTTAGTCCCATTTATACTCCAACGTACTGTGTGAGACAGCATTTGTCTCTGGAAGACGGAGGTGTTTGAACCATGAAATAGACTGGTCTGTGTTTTTCAGGTCCTGTTTGCAGGTGTATGCTATAGGATCACACAATCTGGGTCTTGCGTTCTTCAATGTGAAAGATATGTGCACTTTCACATGAAGGCGCTGAATGCTCAGTCATGGCCAGCAGGAAGACAATTTTGGCTGTGGTATATTAACATTAGTAAAGGACATGGCTGTGATCCATTTGTTTCATTGTTTTGAAGCATTAGAAGAAAGCATAAGAGGGCAGTCAAATCGTCATTTCTTTATTTAAGGTGATTACCAACCAAAATTGTCATTTGCGCCTAAACAGACACCAGTAAGTAGGCATAGCTAAGCTTCATATGTCCCTCAGTGGTGATATTCCTCTGTAGATGTTTATGTCTCCATCCTTCAGAAGGCCAAAATGCTTCGTCATGTTCTAATGTTATGCAAGTATCTGGCAACTCTTCAAAGACATTTAGTCAGCTTTGGCTCAACTTAAAGCTCTCACCTGTAATTTCTTCCAAAACCCTGAAACAATGGAGGTGATAAATTGAGTCTGTATTATATCCAATCTACCAAATGGAATATAACACCAGACTTTGGTTATTACAGGCTACTGCAGTTGGAAGTAACTGGGAATTCTCACCCCTTTCAAGTCCAGAAAGGAAAAGTTTAATACACAATATGTCTTAGGCAGGCCATTCATGATTCATTGTTTTTTTGGGCAACTAGCAGATTGAAAGAAAAAAGTGAACCAATTCCCTAATCCACACATTCAATATGGATGGAGGAATCCTTCTCGCTGTGCTATTGTATTCTTCCGGCGGGGAGCCTTTTCCACCAGCAGAATACAATGATCAATGTTGCCAAGTATAGCCAGCTGCACTGATTGTTTGATGAAAACCCAACAGGCTGCACAGAAGTCAATAGATCAACTTGTGTATAACCAGATAGACCATACACAGATCGAAATTTGGCCAGTCCCTGAAGAAACGGCTGCATTTCGATCCATGTCTTTTGAAGAGAGCCTGAACTCTGAAAGCTTTGACCAAAAAAAGACAGGTAGAGGGGGCAGAGGACAAGTAAAAAGATCAAAAAGTGATCTCTTTGCTGCTGATCGTTTTCCTATTACTAATTTATCTTGTCTTGTGTCTCTCTTTGGTGGTTGCCATCTTTGTAGAGGCAGGGCTTTGCTTCTTCATGTCAGAGCTGCGACCCAGACCCTGATGATTGGCGATCTGATAAATGGTTTGAGAAAATTCAAGAAGCAGGAAGATGT